CTGAAGGGTTGAAATTATTATTGTTATGTTCTGGGATGCAAAGTAAATATACTTTCCATAACATGGGAATGCTTACAGATACTAATTTGCTTTACTTTTAAAAATATTATTTTCCCCACAAAAGTAGGATTTAACAGATCATTTTTTTCTAATCCAACTACATACATTTAAAAATTATTTGTTTGAAAAGTAGAGACAGAGAGAGATTGCCTATCTACTAGTCCACACTTGAAATGCCCACAAAACCCAGAGCTGTGGCATGCTGAAGCTAGGAGCCCAAAACTTCATCCAAGCTCCCCCTCTCAGATGGCAGGGGCCTAAGTGCTTGAGCCTGCCTCTGTTGCTTCCCAGGGTGCACATTAGCAGGAATCTGGATTTAGCAATGGAGCCAAGACTCAAACTCAGGCACTTTGATGTGGGACAGTTGCAGTTGAATCACTGAACCAAATGCCATTGTCCTCTCTGGCAGCATAAGCACAGAGTGGCACTGTGTTTGATAGGAAAGGGCTTTATACCTTCCACGGCTGACATTTCATCCTTAGATATTTCTGATATTTATAAAAAAGTGCTTATTCATATGGAGTCTTTATAGCTTTATAGTCTTTTATAGCTTTATAGTCTTTTATAGCTTTATAGCAACCAAAGGACTATCTGATTTGGAAAACATTGCATATACTCATGCTCAAGGAGTATACATGTGTATTCAGTAGGAAATGCTGCAATATGTTTAACTTCCAATATTTCACAAGCTTATTTGTTTGTGAACCTTCACTTTTCCCCAGAACATCTTTCTAAAAGCAGCTTAGTTCAGAACAGTATCTGGTATATATTAGGTGCTCAATAAATATTTGTTTAAAAAGCAGGGTAATGCAAAAATAATTCTTTAAAACTTAAAAGTTCACCCTGTATCAAGGTGGCATGTGTTCTGCATTTCTGCATGTGACACAATTAACAGGGAGCAATGGATTTGATGCATATGTTTTCTATCCATGAATCATTCTAAATATATATGTATTTTCACAACTTTTAGGGCTTATTCAATGTCTAAATTCAGAGCTTGCATCCTAATTTGTAGAAATACCTTCTTGATTTGTTTAGTTTTGTAGACAGTCATGTTTTTACTTATTTTTGGCCATTTTATTTTATTTTTTAAAACAGCCTTTTATATTATAAAATAAATATCAATTATACATTTGTGATTATACTCAAGTCAATAAGATATTGACTCATTTGCTTTCTGATCATATGTATGGAATGAATGATTTGGCAAGCAGCTTTCTTGTCTTTTATTT